GGAACTTCTATTAAGGTGTACAATGAACGTAAGTTCCCTGTTCAGTAAAGAGAGCTATAGACAGTCAGATGATGTTGACATGGGATCACCACTAGGCCCAATCCTAGGAGAATTTTCCCTGGCGAAACTAGAGAATAGTCCACTTAAAGATGTAATATATAATCTTCATTTCTATTAACGATATGTTGATGATACGTTTATAGTTGTTAAGAAAGAAAGTGAGGCTAAGGACATATTGGATAAATTCAGTAGAGCACATCCCAGCATAAGCTTCACTAAGGTAGAAGAAGAAAATGACTCTATCCCCTTTTCGGATGTCCCGATGACTAAACGAACAGACGAAACAATATGTAGACGTTGGTTTAGGAAACCTTTGCCGTGGCAAACTACATAATATGTATTGAGATTTTAAAAACGAGTTTAAACTGCCCTTGTAACTATATCTTTCCTATGTTAATTTTTACGATTCCAGATAAATCTACCAACTTATTTGTATTTTAAGTGACTCTTCTGAATAATCCTATTCTTCTTCCTAGCCATCATTGCTACTTTCCAAAACCGATGATTATGTAAGGTTGAAGCTACTACTTAACAGTTTAAAGTGATAGTTATCTGTAAGACACATAATATTTATCTGGTCTGTCTTATCAACATTTGGTTTTGAGACAAAAACTCTCGAAAGATTGCTGAGCTGCATTAAATTTGAAAGTAAGAGATAAGTGGCTACTAAAACGTACTATAGAAGTTGTTTTCTATGTGATATGAATAACAATAACATTCTGCTCCCAGTATTATTATTATTATTTCCTTTAGTTCCTAGAGGAACATAGGGCTTCAGCCATGCGTCTCCATTGCGTTCGGTTCTCTGCTAGAGTTTTCACTTGGCTCCAGGTCTGCCCACATGCTTTCATCTCCCCTTCACATGATCTCCTCCAGGTCACCCTTGGACGACCAACTCGTCGCTTCCCTTTCGGGCTCCCAGTAGGATACTAGTAATTTTTCTGCGCCATTATTACCAATTATTTCTCGAAGTTTATTACTTCTGTTATTTTTGTTATAACGGAGTGTTACTGATTTGTTGGTTGCTTTCTTGGCAAACTAAAAATTAGTTAGAGACATTGGATTTCTAGCGTCTTATCCGAACTGACTGACGCAAGAAGACTGACTCTGGTGAGCTCCAATTATGATGAAGAGCGAAAGCTACTCAAACGCAAACTAACAAGAAGCCTTCGAAACGACCGTGATCAGTGGTGAGCGACAGAAGCGAAAGAGATGGAAAAGGCATCGGCGACTGGTAACACCAGACAACTATTTAGACTTATCAGGGAAACAAGTGGTAAACGGCAAACGATAAGTGAAACAATCTCTGAGGAAAATGGCGCAAAAATTAACTCCCAGGATAGACGACTGGAAGGGACACTTTGATGAGCAGTTTAATTGGCCTACAGCCACGCTTAACTTACCGAACATCCAACACCTCTCTGAATGGGATATAAACACAGGATAACACTGACTCCTAGCTTAGAAATAGGGAGTGAAGCAGTAAAGCACGTTGACCACTTCACTTATTTGAGGAGTTGCATCAGCTAACGACAACGGGTTGATCGCTAACGAAATCTCAGCACGGATACACAAGGCTAGTTTCGCATATGCCAGTTTACGCCGTCTTTGGCATAGACGTGATATCCAGCCGGCTATCCACCGACGGGCGTGTGTACTGGTCAGCAATCCGCTCCATCCTCCTTTATGGCTGTGACACCTGGTCATTGAGAGTGGAGGACATGATAAGGCTAGCTGTCTTTGATCATAGGTGCCTGCGTTCTATCTCCCGTGTGAAGTGCTATAACGGAATGAGCAATATTCAGGTTGGACATCGGTCGAGTGCTAGGTAAGGAAGGGAAGTCAATCGACAAGGCTGTGAAGCTACATCGACTGAGATGGTTAGGACATGTGTTACGCATACCTAGACATCGCCTTTCTCGACGGGCAATGTTAGCTAACATAAGATCAAGTTGGAAATAAGCCAGCGGTGGTCAAACCAAAACATTGCATCGACCAATGAAATCCACAACAGTTAGTTTAAGCCACGTGGGAAGGTGTAGACTTCCTGGTTGGGGTCCCCGGGACGCTGAACACCAATAGCTGGAGACAATCGGTGATATTGCTCGAAATCGTTCCCAGTGGCGATGATGCATCCACTCCCTGTGACACATAATACCCAATAAGACTATATTGATCTTCGATATTACTATCATTTTTGCCTCATATCATCTCTGTTTACTGTCTCTATTTTGCATTTCTTCTACTTTCTTCCCTTGCTTTGTGTGCTACATGGAGTGTGGCAACTTGAACTGCTGCACATCGGTGCAAAGTTCTATGTCGAAACCAGTCAGTCAGTCAGCCATCGCAAGGTAAGACTAATAACAGCTTTTATCTTAATCCATACGAATTGAAACTCCCCTGAACTTTAATTATCTCAAGTGATTTCAACACATCAATTTCATGATTGCTATCAGTTAACCGGTGGACGATCGCACCTTTCGTTTGGAAGTGTCTTGGAATGTGCTCAGACATATGTTCACAAATTCCTCTTCTTCGTCCTATGTATGTGTTTTGCACGTCCATGTACATTGGTTTGTGTAGTTAGACGTAAGATGACTTGTCAACTATAGATTCTCGGTGAGCAATTTATTCGGTGAGTTGTGACTAACCTGGAAACTGAATAAGTCCATATGAGAGCAGCATTTATTCGATATTTAATTACTCCACTACCTTGGAATCGAAGCTTTAGGAATACCGGTTTCTTCTCAACTGTATCAAATTCTCCTTAATATGTGGAATTCTCTTGCTTTCATCAATTAGCTTCGGAAGATATCTACTGTCCAGTAAGCACCTTTCAATAGTGGCGAATTCGTATCTCTCTTTCTTCCAAAGATTTTCACCGAGGTAGAACAATTTCCACACCAAACCTCTTTTATAGCTTATTAGACCAAAACAACTGCGATTCGAATACAGTCAATTGCAGAATTCTTTACGACGAATATACCTTTGTATATTTCGACTTTTCATCTGTAGGCCACTCATACAACTCCTTTTTATTATTGTATAAACAATTCTCGTAGTCACGTAACCTATTTCACTAACTAATATAACCTTTCTAGTTAAACTTTGTTTCTATCCAAAGTATTGAACCCTGGTCCTTTCTCCAAGAACATTTGTCTAATTATACCATAAATAGTTATCACTCTTAACGCCTAACAATTAACTACTAACATCATTCCGGACTCATGTTACTTAGACTTTTTATCAATAACTTATGGCCGACACGAAAAAAGCAGTGTTTAACCATTTTTAAAACTTAAATTTTCGTTTTGTTAAGCTTATGGGCAGTTGAAAAGAACCCATGGAATAATAAAAATAAGCTCATTATCCTGTTACACTTCTTGCTCCTGCTTGTTAAAGGAAGCTTCTCTGATGAAGTCTTCTTATGATACTGACACTTCTCATTCGAAGCACAGAAACACACAACTGAGCTGTAATTATTCCGACTGAAGAGTTAATATTGAAAAACGAATATTTTGACTTATTTTGTTTAAATATTAAGCTTACATATATACTCCAGTGCTCCACTGTGGGGAAACTGAATGAAAACGAAATAAGTCTCATGGAGTCCTTCCAACACCAATCAAACTTAGAACTGATAGAACTAACGAAATCAAACAAAGATGCACAGACTTCACGAAAAGTTCGCCGAACAACGTGGAGACTCAACTCAATAGCTAATCCGCCTGCTACTACTAAACACCTTGTTCAATTTACACATTCAAAATTGCCAAATGCATATGTTATATGAAACGAATAAGAAGGTTTTGCAGTCGTCTTCAGTTAACATCATATACCCAATGCCCAACTTTTTTCCAAACTGTTAAAAGTAAACTTGGTCTGGACATATATGTGTCTAGTAGCATAAAACACATGGACATTAGTAAATTTATCAGAATAAGGATCCATACAGAGATAATGCAAAATTACAATCACGTTAGGAATAAAATGGAAAACTTATCATCAAAAATACTAGATAATAGGCATGTCAAGCACTAGCGAGTAAAAGTAAATCAATTACAATAGAAATAGAAATCATATATACACATTACGTATAACATCATTCCCAGGGTTATACGTAAGTTCATCAACTGCTCGTAGATGTCACAGAGTCCACACCCTGTGTACATGACGAAGATACAGGTGCTCCTGACCCATTCACAGAAGCACTTGTGACTCCACTTGAAACAGACGTTCCACAAATCTCAACACTAGATGCAGCAGTAGTCACAGCAGAACCAACCGTTGTAGTTGATGGAAGGCAGGCGAGATTACCGGTAACGGCCTGTAGTGTAGTAGCTTCCATGGAACCAACACCAGAAACCGTTGTACTGGCAGTACCTTCAGATGCAACTGTTGGAGCAGACAGCCGACGAATCAACTGTGTTAGCCATCGTCTAGTAGCCACATCATTCTCCAGCAAACCACTGAACGTGCCATCTATGAGCTGTTGTGGCAAACATGTTCGAAGAGCATCACGCGCTCTGAAATAAAAATCGGAGGTAAAAATTATCATATTTAGACATCGATAACGTCTGAGTTATTACTCAACAGTTTAAAGTGATAGTTATCTGTAAGACACATAATATTTATCTGGTCTGTCTTATCAACATTTGGTTTTGAGACAAAAACTCTCGAAAGATTGCTGAGCTGCATTAAATTTGAAAGTAAGAGATAAGTGGCTACTAAAACGTACTATAGAAGTTGTTTTCTATGTGATATGAATAACAATAACATTCTGCTCCCAGTAGGATACTAGTAATTTTTCTGCGCCATTATTACCAATTATTTCGCGAAGTTTATTACTTCTGTTATCTTTGTTATAACGGAGTGTTACTGATTTGTTGGTTGCTACCCATTCTGACTGCATTACGTCTCCAGACAACTGATCACTAGGAAAATGTCCGCCACACTGAGTAGACACACAGAAGTCAGATTCAATTGAGACGACTGCGGCAAAAACAACAACCACAACAGGACGAAACAGCTGTCTAGTACTCCCAGGTGTTCCAGTGCTTCTCTAACCAATGTCAGTGCATGACGAAATCCTGCAACCAATCAAATATCCCAAATATGTTGTTACTTCCTTCCTGATATACTACTTATATCGGATTATAAGTAGCACTCACCACACTCGCCCCCTCATTATAAAGTCTCTCCTGTAACCGCCTTGATCGCCGCACAGACGTTTCATCCTGCTGCTCTTCTGGTACCTTGTCTTGACATTCTTCTCTCCATCTTTGTAGCAGACTGGCGTTTACTCTTTTCTCTTTATCTCCTCTCTTTATTGTGTACACTGGACCGCGTCTCGATGTGACCACATATGGTCCCTCCCACTTCGGCAGAAGCTTTCCTGATCCTGGTCCACTGCCGGTAGTATACTTTCGTTCTCTACATTTCACCTGGTCACCTACTTCAAACGGCTTCCAAGCTTTGATTTGTTTCTTGCCATAATTTTCGATGTCTATCTTGCGCTTCTCTTGTATATTCTGAATAGCTTGTTTGGCCAGTACGCACTTTGGCTCACTAGGTCGTATGTTCGTGCAACTCCTGTATGAGCTAGTTGGTGGCATTCTTGAATGACCCCACGACGAAGGCTTTTTGGTATCACTGCAACCCAGCTACCATCACTGTCTTTCCAAGTTAAGACGCCGGCAGCGTTTAGTTTGAGTCTATGTTTTTGCTGCAGTAGCATCTTTAACTCTCTATTCTCTGCTGCCATTTCAATTTCTTTCCCTTCACGTATCATCTGAATGACTGTCTTAAGAGTAGGATCCGACTTCTGGTGGTGAACAAGTTGTAAGGGATCTTGCTCCAAAGCGTTTACTGCATACGCTACCTCTGGTAGTTCAGTCTCATTATCTGACCTCGACAAATAGTCAGCTATTACATTTTCTTTTCCTGGAATATGTCCAATCGTGAAGTCATACTCTTGTAGGCGTAACATCCATCGTGATAACTTCCCTCGTGGATCCCGTGCTGTTTTCAACCACTGAAGAGGTTTGTGGTCGGTCTCAATGTGGAATCGGCGGCCGATCAGATATGGTCTCCATTTTTCTAGTGCCCAAACAATGGCTAAACACTCCTTTTCCACCGTAGAATACTTCTGTTCTGCAAGTGTCAACACACGGCTAGCGTATTCAACAACCCCATCCGTTTGTCTTAAAACAGCACCTATACCATAATCACTGGCGTCTGTCGAAACTGTGAACTGCTTCCCCGGCGCTGGCAGTTTCAACGTCATCTGTTGACCATCTAACAGCCCTTTAATTCGCTCAAACGTTTGCTGTGCCTCTTCCGTCCACATGAATTTTGCGTTACTCAGCAACGTATATAGTGGTTTTGCTATCTCATTGAAATTCTTGACAAATCGGCTGTAGAATGCCGCTCTTCCCAAAAACTGTCTCAGCTTTCGCTTTGAATTTGGCACTTCGCTGGTTTTGACCGTCAGGATTTTCTCCGGCAATGGCCGTATTTCACCATTTCCCACTTTGTAACCCAGGAGGACAACCGTGTTTTTAGCTATTTGGGACTTGTTCTTATTAATCCGCAGTCCAAAGTCATCAATTCTCTTAAGGATAGCTTCGATGTGGTCTATATGGTCGCTTTCCGTCTCACTATACACCACCAAGTCATCTCCATATACTTCTACGTTCTTCAGACCCTTCAGTAATAAGGTCATTAATCTTCTGAATGTAAATGGGGCACCTACCAATCCAAATGGCATTCGTTCTTCAATGTAAGCATAACCCTGCTTGTTAGGCTGAAAACACTTACCGCGAATCATCCGAAAGACGTAGGTAGCACCGAATCACGTGTTTCAAAAGGCGTAATGACTGCTCTCTAGCCAAGTCGATCACAATTTTTTCCAAAACAGTAGCTACGTGAGCGAAACGCTCATAAGTTTGACAGATGTACGCCAGGCCGACTTCATCCAAAAGAAGCTTCTGCATAATGAAGGTCGCCACCTAGATTGTTTACAAGGATATAGAGGAATGAATTAGTGACGTGGAGTTTGCAGGTGGTATAACCAATGTGAAATAGTCACATACATAATGATGTCGTCTAATGTGAACTTCACGTTTTTACATTTCTAACAAAATAAGTACTTTGTAAAACAAATACCTAGGCAACCAAATCATGTGATCAACAGTTAACTCTATCCTAATTGGATTTTGAATCACATCACTCCTGTATAATAAATCAGAACTGCAAACGACAAATGTCATTTCATCTGCTGTTTAAATGATATTCACAGAACTGTGGGAAATTTCCAGGATACAACAGTATTTTGCATAAACAACAGTGAAACACTAACAGAAGATGTCCAATTTCTTCCATTCGAATTGTAAAGTCTAGTCTGAATTGCTACACTGATATATTAATGATTTTCCTAAATGCACTTCAACACATGATTGACTGGAAGACGCAAAACTCACAGTTCTACTCAGTTCACTTCCTGACTCCATGATTACCAGACAAAGAGGTATAATTTCCGACCCCAGGAGAAATGCTATGACCTCTGGTTCATCCGTCTGAAAGGGAAAAGAAATTGTAGATTAAGGAAATAGTGCTTCTGAATTACTAATGTTTCTAACCACTACTCATCACGGGAATGCTGTATAGCTAAAACAGTCTGATTCATTCCAAACACTGGGTGCTTCTAAAGAACCACTAATAACACGTTTTGAGTGACCAGTGTTTCGGGTTTCACCTATTTTTTTACATGACGCTTTCGTCTTTCATATCAACATTTTTGGTTCACACTAAAGCGATTCTAATTTAAATGAGTGATTACCAATCATATTCTACAAATTCTTATTAACTTATCCAATCACTGTATCAACGATTTGGTCTAAATATCATATCACTTTTGCACCCGTCCTTACCGAAATGGATTTAACACGAAAAGACACCATTTCCAATCACATGAAGCAGTAAACCTATGCTGTAAAACAGCGAGAGAGCAGACTAAAATAAACTCTGTGGTCACTACCTGTTAACAGGTTGTTTTCAAAACTCATTCTTTACACCAGAATACCTCTGATGTTGCATAGCCAAATCGTGTGTCGAGTCATTGCATAGACATCCGAACTTCAGGATATCAGCTGACCAGCTTTGATAGTCCAATTTATAATCTATCAAATAAACTGCATTAACTTCATTTCATGATTTACACCTGTAGACTGCTAAATATTATGGTAGTTATCTCAGAAAATCCACAACAGTAAAGAAAGTATTTCAACATCACAGACAAAATTTTCTACCAAACATAGAGTTAACGTTCAGACAGAAAGTTTATTCCTGATAATTAACTGTCATGTTTAAAACGCGACTGTTATTTAAATGAACACAAGAATACAGTCGATTCGATCTCGAAACTGCACATGTGGATACAAGCAATTCCATATTAATTCGCCTGCTAGATATATCATATAATAATTGATACCATGGACAATAAATTGTGTTCGAAACGTCACCCAGTAAATGCTCAAGTATGTGACATATCTAATGAACAAATTAATATGGAACTACCTATGGATAGTCCAACCTAACTTTACAAATCAGATGGGCTCTAGATATCCATTATTTTACTGATGCTTTATCATTTAACAAGCTACTTTGATAGTTGTCACAAAAGACGGGACTCATGTGAAGACATTTGGCAGTTCACAATCTCTCGGAACATTTTTACAACTGCATAGCATGAATACTCTTAGTATCATACGATTTCTATCTAATATTCATAAGCGCACTCGTGAATGCGACGTTCAAACTATACGCCAACAGGGATTACTTGCTCTTACTGAAAATAAGTTGAGACAACTACTGCTTTTCAACAACCAACATGTACTGGTAAGCTAATGGAATGGCTATGGCTTTGACACTGACCTACTTCTGTTACCCTTCCTCACAGTGTAGAAACATTACTGAAACCATAAATAGAAGACTGTACGTTACTGCATGTATGTTATGTGCGGAAATACAAACCGTGTATCCAAAATATTTGAAAAGCTAAGTGAAGCTCACCTCTGTATCAATTTCGCAGTAGATTATAAACGTGATGATAAGTTTAGTTTCCAGGATAATAACATAAAATGAAGACGTGGTAGCAAAGTTGGGGAAATAACATATGCAACTGATATGTGAACCAGTCAGTAATTCGACTGTCACAGTTTTCTCCTTTTCAATTACATTCGGAACCCGGTGGAAAAGCTTCTCAGCAAACCAAATCCGGGTAGGGCTCACTTCTTTTGAAAAGAATATAGTGCAGGAGAATTCGAGCACCGTGCTGGAGTATAGTTTGAAATATTATCAGTAAATAAATAACGCTATTATTGTGTTTCGCCAAGTAAACTAATAAATCGGTCTTATTGTAGGAAAGCCCAAGAAGATAAAGATCAAAACTCACACCTATAACTGACGAATAGGAGCCATTTTCACTTATTTCGTTACGTGATCCGAAAGTTGTGGACTTACTTTCCAAAAGTAAAGCTTTGAAGCTAGAAGTACAAAAGATAGTCAAATTTCAACGAGCTTTTGTAAATCAATCAAGCACTAACCAGATGATACAAGTTAACTTTTTAAAGAATATTTCATCAATTCACAAAAACGTTCGCAAATATGATGTTTTGAAGTGCATAAGAAACAACGCTCACTTTAACAAGTGCACCAATCACTCCAAGGCTACTCAACCTTAAGTACTCGAATGGACGCGTTTGATTATTTGTATTCAAAAACGTATACAGGTACAGAGGTATGTTGGCCTTCAGAAACTCCTTCCTGGTTTCTGGATGCGATGCCAAGCACTGCATAAGAGCGAGTGCATTACAAACACGATTAGATTGATGGGCCTATAAAGGCAAACATGGATACATTGATGGGTTATTTTACATATGGTACAATCACAGATACAGCTAAATACACAAATGTCACAAAAATATGAATAAATGCAAGTATATCAATTGAAAGAGTTTTTTATCACGCAAACTATCTATGCGAAAAATTAAAACAAAATCAACTCCATGCATGAAAGCCAAATGAATACACAACCTCGTGAAATCTATAGTGACTTCACTCAAAGAATAGAAGCAATGACATTTGAACCTGTAACCTAATGGGAGAATCTGAAGTTGACTGAATTTCCAACGTAGAACTTTACGCAAAAGTGCAGCAGTTCGAGTCCTCACACTTCTCAGAAGCACACGTAAAAGTTGACAAACATACCCAGAGTTCTGCTCAGGAGGTATCATGTCAGTCTTCAATTAAATCAGACCCTGGTACCAAAACATTTCCCACGACACTGCAATCCACCAAACTTACACCCACCAGTCTACCAATTGTTAAATCGAAGAATGACAGACAAGAAAGGTTTCCATCGGTTAGTATAACACACTTTCTCGGCAATTCCGTTACACCTTAAGATTGCCAAAGAACCTATGATTAGATCAGTGTTTCTTTCTTTGTTATGCTCCTTTTGATGTCTAATAAACAATGCCATCGTTATCCGTAACTTAAAACCTGACCTGACCGATCGAAATCGCCCGTTTAGACCACATTTCCCATGTGCATTCTCCAACTGGGAAAGTTTTACATATTCGATCACAACGGTATTTGGCCAATGGTTTAAACAGGATTTGCTGCTTATCTTACCACATATGCATATATGTATATATACGGCAAAAATGACAACTTACGCTCAAGTTGGGAGGATTTATGTAGGGATATATTGAGCATATTTCTTGAAGCAATGCAGCAATCGAACCAAATGTATGCCAGAGGATTGGAGCGAGTTCTGGCACAGATTCCCTCATTTTGCTTTATAAATGGACTCAACAGTTAATAATACAACATACCAGAGCTCTAAAAGTGCACTTTCTCGGGATTCCATATTTGTTAGCGAAGACACCAGCTTGCGAACACTCTCCATATCAGAAGCCGACGTCCCAGTTTGAGGAGCATTAGACGGCGTAGACATTGTAATACAACAACCGACTGTCACACCAGCAAGATGATCACGACAGCTCGACGAGAGGTTTGTACAGTGACAAAATTCACACAGCGCGGGTCAAGTACACACAAACGAAATAGTCCAGTTCCAATATCCAATATCCTGATTACGAGCTTGTATAAACCAGTGATTTCTTCGAGCTCTCTTCTTGATTGTAAGGTAGAGGTTCCAGATCTTCGGTGAACTTATGCGTAGTAAATCCCGCCACTCGACAGCTTTAGCTCTGGTAGACTCCAAGAGGAGTGGTGCGAGGATTGGCCAAGATTGTGGTTTGTAGTGTGCAGTATGTTAGGACTCAGCTGCTGCCGTGAATGGAGTTTGACCTAACACCCGTTGGTCATTCGGTGTAGTCATAAAAGTAGAATAGTAATAATAATAATAGGTTGTAGTGTAGATAATATAGGTTGAGATAAGTGAAATAATAAAGGTGAAATAATAAAGGAAGAAAGAAAAGATAGAGTAGTCGGTACAGTGGGAGAAGACAGGACGGCTCGTGGGGATTTAGCTTGTATGCTTATCCACTGACAATGTGGTTTCAAGTTTTAAGAGGATAAGCCATTGAGACACAACCATGCATTTCTGCATGATTGTCCAGCTTCCGCTTAAAAGTCTCCACAGATGGCGCTGTAGTTACGGCCGCCGGTAAGGCGTTCCAGAGACGGCAAACTCAAAGCGAGAAGAAATGTGGACGCACTCGAGTCTTTGGTCTCTGGTGTGCTATTCTTAGCGGGTTACCTCGTGGAAGCCTATAATCACTTAATGGCAGGATGCTTTTATTAGGGTGGGCCTGGTCATTTAAGATCTTATAGACGGTGATGAGGTCTCCCCTGTGACTACGGTAAATAAGTGTGAAAAGACTTAATTTCTTCAGTCTTTCCTCATATGATTTGTTGCGGAGGCCGATCACCCATTTTGTCGCTCGTCTCTGGACACTTTCTAGAATGTTAGCATCCCTTTTGAGTAGCGGAGGATCAATTATGTTGTGCACCTCAAGGAGTGGCCTCACGTATGTCGTATACAACGTTAAGAATAGTTCAG